ACCTTATAGATGCTTCTAAGGAATCAAAATCTTCTAAAACACCCCCCAATAGATTTATAAATATCAAAAATTAAATCTAATATCAATGGGTGATGTTTTGATCAATTTCTTATAACTTTGAGAAACCCTTCGATCTGAAAAAAATCACAAAAAACTAGTTTTTTGGGGGGCTTTCTCTTTCTAAAATAGGCTCTAATGAGTTTTAGGTTTCAAATGAACCTAAAACCCCCATTTTTGACCCCTTAGTATAAAAACAAATGGACAAAAATAGACCCCACCGAAAGTGTTTTCCTCCTCTGGGTGGGGCGCTGGACTTGGGCGGCTGCCTAGGCGGTTTCCTGGGAACCTAGGCGGGTGCCCAGAAACCTCCGCTTTTTTTGGGCGCCTAGCCCTGGACGATGCGCCCAGGCCCCAAGATCTGCCTAGGCGGCCGCCCAGGCAGTGGGCAGTTCGCATTTTTAAACACTGAAGAGTACCTCCATGCCATCTAGATTAGCGAGAAGATAGAGTAGTTTTCTTTGAGGGCCATTCATGTGGGAGAAAGAGGGAGAAAAGACTCTCTAGGGCTGCTACAAGTTCAAGATAGAGAAAGATGTTTATCTAGAGTCTTCTACATGTGCAAGAAAGAGAGACGCTCTCTATGGGCTGCCCCCTGGAAAACTGAGGGGCTTCTTACGGGTTGCTGCACGTGTAAACAGGGACTGAACAAGTGAGAGATCAATAAAGAGAAGACACTAGAAAACAGAGAACCTTAGAAGGGAAACCTCTGAGAGAGAGAAAAGGAGCTTTCTTTCCTATTATCATGTCTTGAGTTCTTGGGATGATTTATGTTTCCCCAAAAAGAGCTGAGAAAGGACTTTGCCTTCAGTTTGGAGTGAACCCACTCTTAGGATGTAATCCTAAGAAACTCTCATATTATGACTTCTTGCTGCTTTTCTTTTTGTTTCTGCAGGCATTTTTTTTGAGCAAGTGTTGATGAATGTAATTAAAAGCATGGTGAAATTACATGAGTGAAGTATCTCTAGACATTTGCAAAAGTTGACATAAGCTTGGTGGGAACCCTTTACAGTGGTAGAAAAGCACACAACTCTAGGGAACACAGCTCAAAAAGTGCTATAATGGTCCCGTTCAGTTAGCTTCATTTTTAGCGAGGTTATCAGCTCTGTTGTTTGTCTCATGCCACATATGCTGAAAGGAGGCATGAGTAGACCTGTATAAACTCAAAAATGGGGTCAAAGATCTGTTTTAGTCGGCATGGGCAGATTCAGGCTCTTGATGCTGGACAGATGGCATAGAATCGCCCTCCAAGACTAAGAAGGGGATCCACTTCGTTGAAGCTTTTGATACCTTGAGTAGTGCGATGGCCTTAGCTGTTGTAGAGTCAATGTGGCTAGTAAATCCTGAATAAGAGAGTAGTGTATTTCCTTCATGATCTCTGAAGAGGCCACCATAACCTGCCGGACCCATGTTGCCGAGAGAGAAGCCATTGAAGTTGAGCTTGACGTGCCCTTGTTCCAGTGATGCCTTGGTGAATGTGGCCACAACAAGGTATTGGGGGTGATCTTTGTTTTGCACTTGTAAAATGGCTGTATCTATATAAGTGAGAAAATATGATGCAACTGAAAGGAGTAGCTATGCGGAATTCAAGGGAGTAAAATAAAAAATTTTCTTCTATTTTTTTATTAATGTATCGAAATTCCACTTACAAGTGCAACAAAACAATGCTGTAAACAAGAAATAAAATCCCAAGTATAACTTGGGATCTTTCCTTTTATTGTCGAATAGAATAGACAATCCAGGAAAAAAGCTTTCACTATAAATTTTAGTACAAATAATGTTCCTGGAAAATCAAAAAAACAAGCAAAGAATGACTGAAAAATAAAAACAAACAGCTGGGAAGACTTACTTGAATTTGCCGTTGGCCACCTCCTTAGGACTTACTAAACCCCACACATGATTCCTAACTGATGGCGCACTCTGTTCCTATTGGCTTTGCTGAATTTTCGAGTTCGGAAGCTTCCTTAGGGAATACCTTTTTGGATCTAGGGTTTTGGGACAATAAGCAAGCTCAGGGTTTCTAGATCCCTTTTTAGACCTTGCAAAGGGCATGCCTTGTAAGGTACCTCCCTTGGTCTTACTTTGGGCTGGGCGTGGCGCTCTATGTTATCTTTGGGTGGCGTGCCGCCCTTAGTATCCTAGGGTGGTACATACCAGCCTTTGGTGACTAGACAACAGAGAGAGATAGAGAGTGGCACATGGAGGAGAGAGAAGGAAGAGAGCAAGAGAGGCTAGAATATGATGTAGAGAATGAGGGAATCCCCCTCCTTATATAGGTCTTAAGGGCCCTTGGTGTGCCTATCCATATTGTGAATCATCATGCCCAATAGAATTTTAGAAAATTTGTAAAGTCAGATAGGATTAAATCTGAGCTATCCATTCCATGAATCGGCCATCATGATTTAGGGAGGAGTTTAGGAACCTTATTCTTTGAATCTTTGATCTATATCCACTTCTAGTCAAACTAGGATACAAAGAAGCAAAACCTAATCTTCTAGAACTCCCATATCTCTCACAAAGATTGTAGAAATTCAAAAGATAAAAGATTTGAAAGATAAAAGATTTGGTCAAAAACAAAATATTCTTTTAACTCCCTCAAAATAAAGACTTAATGCCTGTATGGGCTCAACACCCCACATGTGTGAGGGTGGTGCACGTGTGGGCTGGATCCCAAGGCTCACACATGTCTTGCCTTGCCCCTCCACAAATTAGAAATTTCTACAATGCCCTTTTAAGAGATTTTATTACTAAAAATCATTTTAAAACTGTGAAAAAAATTGTAAAATTCACAGAAACATCTCTTACATTAACAAGAAGATATCTTGAAGTTAGGAAACGGGCTAGGTCAAGACGGTAGAGGCTAGGTTTTCGTAGCCCAACGTCTCAAGTTCCATTCCTATGTAACCTTGTCAAAAAGAAAAAATAAAAAATAAAAAATTTTGAAGTGGATTGGCACTAATGGGTCAAGATAAGTGTCGGTCAGGGCACTCCACCCGCCCCAATAACCGTGATCCTCGACTATCTTCTCAAACAACCTAACCGGACCCATGACTCATAGTCTTATGCAGGGGATCAAGATCGGCTCATCAAAGCTAGCCAATAAACAGTAGAACTAGAGTTCCAGAATCAGGATCACAGGTTCCCCCCTCAAGTGCAAGTCATAAGCACATATCACTATAGTGCGAGGGGGAGACTTTATATGCACATGTACTTGTATTCAATTTTCAGGATTGCTTCCCGGTATGCGGCTGTCATGTGTACATGCTGTGCGGAAGTTTGTTGAGGATTTAACCCTTGCTCTCATAAGTGTACATCCGTACACAGGAGACCATGAAGCTCTCCTGACCTAAAAATCATCCCTGGGCATCTCTCTGACCTCAACTAGAGATGACGCTCTCAACCCTCTTCGATAGTTCCACGTGCTCAGGGGTAAAGGTTTTAGATATGATTAGGCCCTCAATCAATGCACATACTCCCACTAAAGTGTAAAATCCACTATAATTCGTATTGACATCCTTCATGGCCTTTAAAGGCCACAAACCTCAACAAGAATAATTTTTGTATTTCTATACCTGGCAAGCACCACTATAGCTACTCACAAAATGGTTACAACTTTGTACTTTTAGTATAAAGTGAGGCTATTTCCGTATGGTTGAGATTTGATGAGTTAATCTTTATGGAGTTTTTCTTGGTCACTGCAGCAAATGTCTCCTGATTGTATTGTACCTTTGAATATGATCAAGTTATCATAAATTTGTATGAACTGCTTGCTACTACGCGTGCCTTGTACCTCTGAATATACCTTTTTCGTTTTAAATTTTATAGTTTCACGCATTTACACTAAGCGGGCATTCTCTTACTGGTAGAAGAATATCGTGTTTGGTTTTCCTCAATTCGGCTGCTTGGATTTGAGAGGCCATGTAGGAATTGTGGATGTATCATACATGCTGATTTAGGTTGTGTTATGAAATATGATATTGGCTGGAGCTTGCTGCTTATGGATGCTTCTTAGAAATGTTTGTATTGGATGTAGGATTCTTGCATATGTTTGTGGTGGTTGTAGGATTCTTACAAATGTTTGTATCAGGTGTAGGATTCTATTGATTTTTGCATAGAAGTTTGGAGGTTGTGTGTGTGTGCGCTTGTGTGTGCTCCATGCACGTGTGTGCACGTGGGCTACTTCATTTGCATCTCGTTTAACTGTTGGGAAATTATGCAATAGTTGCACAGGTAGCCCTTTGGTTCGTCATTATCAAATAAATGAATGGTCTGAGATGGTGAGTGTGGGACCCACCAGAGTGCAACGTGACCCCAATGTTGGATTTCTCCAAGGTTTAAAAAAACACTAGGTGGCCCTAGGCGGCCTGCCTGGCGCCCAGAACCTCGGGCGCCCTGTGTTTCAATAAGTTTAGAGATTGATTTCTTTATTTTTTTCACTTTGGAGGTTAAAAAATAAAACCCATATACAAACTTGGGGGTCAAAATGACCCCCTTTGCCCTTTTGGGTGAATTTAAAAATTGAAAAACGCCATAAGGCCTTGGGCGCTGCCTAGCTCGCCTGGGCGCTCACTCAGTTACAACTGCCGGTGTAGGGCTGCCTGGGTCGAGGCGTTTAGTTTTTTTGTTCAGGCCACCTAGGCGGGCGCCTAGGTGCCGGGCAGACCGTTTTTTGAAACCTTGGATTTCTCTTTCCTCCACTGTAACGATGGGTTGGATGGTGATGACCAGAAGTCTCTTGTTTTTTTCATAATCTCAGGATTATGGTATGCTTTTCCAGGCTTAGTTTATGTATATGTACGTGTTTGGAAGCCCTCCCTCTCTCTCTCTCTCTCTCTGCATATATTTGCATGGACAAATGTTACTTCATGTGGTTTGATCTGTTTTGTGTACTCTCCCCTCAGCATTTATTGCGAAACCAATCTCCACCATAATGCATGGTGCAGGTGGTAGCAGTGAACCTGAAGGACGGCCGGAGGCTCCCGGCAGACATGGTGGTGGTGGGCATTGGCATCCGCCCCAACACCATGCTCTTTGAGGGTCAGCTCACAATAGATGAGAAAAATGGCGGGATCAAAGTTGACGCCAAGATGCAAACTAGCAACCGAAGCGTGTACGCTGTTGGTGATGTCGCCTCCTTTCCCCTCCCTCTTCTTGGCAGCAGGAACCGCCGCCTCGAGCATGTTGACTGTGCACGCAAGTCTGCCATTCATGTTGTTTCTTCCATAATGGACCCCAAGGACACTGGAAATTTCGATTACCTGCCTTTCTTCTATTCTAGGGTCTTCACTCTCTCTTGGCAATTTTATGGGGACAATGCAGGTGAGCTTCTGTCCCCTGAGCTTCAGCTTAGTGGCATATGTATTAGTTTTGGTGAGGTAAATCAAGTGTTCATACCCTTGAAGTTTGTGCTGAAAGACTAAGTATGCTGACCGACTTTTTCTTTTTCTAATGCAGGTGAGGTTGTGCATTTTGGAGATCTTTCTTCTTTTCAAGGGCCATTTGGGGCATATTGGGTTAATGGGAAGGGTCAGATAGTGGGGGCTTTTCTTGAGGGAGGGAGCAAGGATGAGTATGAGGCCATAGCTAGGATTTGTAGAGTGCAGCCAGTTGTGGGGGACAGGCTTGATCTGGCGAGTCGCGGGTTGGAGTTTGCGGTGTCAGGCGATTACGGGCCCCCACTTTCAGCGGGAGATGATATGGGGTTGGTTGTGGAGAGGCAATTGTATGCATGGCATGCGGCAGCCGGGGTGTTGGTGGCATTCTCGATTTCAGCCTTCGCATATTGGTATGGGAGGCGGAGACGAAGGTGGTGAGAGGCGTTGCTGCCTGAAGACCAGCAGCCAATGTATTGTAGACGAGCTTTTACTCACTGTCTGCATTGTTTGTAGCATATGATGTTGAAACATTGCATACATGATGATTGGACTGCTCCCCTTAGATAAAAATGAATATTGAGGGAAATTACAAGGGTGCCTCTGATTTTCAGAAATTTGACTGGCTGCCATTTTGCTGTCTCCTCCCCTGCCAACTCTCGCATCATATTGTTTTTAGCATTTGATATTGCAGCATTACAAAGTTCTCTCTGGCCTCTCTCTCTCTCTCTCTCTCTCTCTCTCTCTCTCTCTCTCTCT